GGCAGGACCAGCTGTCAGCAAAGCAGGCAGGACAAGGACCATAGGCGGCACATGGACTCTGCCACAGAAACTTGGTTAGCCTTCTCAGTAAGGAGGCTTCAGGTTGATTTGGTGAGCAAGTGGAACGGAATGATGGCGGGGCTCTGACGGGGGAAATCGGGGGCCAGAGTAGGCCTGCAGAGTTGGTACAATGAAACAGCCTAGGACCCCAGGGCTGGCTGCTGGGTCCAGGGTCCCAGGACTGACTTTTCTGCCCAGGCTGGGAAAGATTCAGACCCTCGGGTCCCTTTATCCTAATCATCGTGGGTGGGCAGGGTACCCAAGAGTAGAGCTGGGACTGTCAGCACACTGAGATCAACAGAATCTCTGCACAGGGCTCTCCACCCACCCTCCTCCACCATGCCTGTGAGTCAGAGGGCAGCCAGGAGACTCCTCCCTCAAAAGCCTCTGCCATGTGGCTACCAAAGTCTTTCCCCTCTTTCACACTCCCTCCTGCAGGGCAGAGCCCTTTAGAACTTGCTGCCTCTCCCAGTGGTCTGAGCAGTCCCTGCTCCACTACCCACACCCTTTCTGCTGGAGAGCCCCCCCTTCGGGGCACAACAAGGGCCACCGCCAGCTCCATTCCCCAGCCGGGTTCCCGTACCCCCAGCCCCACTGGTCCCACCCGGGACCCCAGGCCTGCCAGAGGGCCGCCTCCCTCTGCCGCAGTCAGCACACTGAATATTTAATGTCTGACGAGCACTTCCACCTGCTGACACAGGAAAAGTGGCAGAACAATGCCGACAGGGACACAGCCAGTCCCCTTACAGGCGGCCTCCCGTGGCCCTGCCTCTCCACCCCCCACCCTGAGCGGACTCCCACAGGGGTCTGGCGAGAGAGTTCCTAGCCTGAAATACATACTTCTTTACATTCCATAACTTAGCAGGTCCATATGGGTATATAAAGAAGTATGTGCCCCAAGCAGGTAGTCCAGTGTGCATAAGAGTGTGGCCCAGCACAAGCCGGCCCCACTCAGTGGAGAGAAAAGGAAGAACTCCCAAAAGTTCTATATGCTAGTTCCCCGTGCCAGGTCAGGCCTCATTCCCCACCCCCAGTGACTCCTCCGTAGTTGGTGCTCCCCACTCTGCACCTTCCGTGCCTAGGTCTCAGTCTCTCTCACACATGTGCACACTTGGTAAAGAAGGCTGGACGCAGACAGGACGTGCTGGAAAGTCTCAAAGATCTTATTCTCCCTAACCGTTCGTCATTTTCCCCTCAACAGAACGAGAGTGGAGCTCTCTCCCATTCTCCCTGACAGAGGAGAGTCACATCCCAGACTTTCAGAAACAGCACCTAGCCACTGCCGACATCTTCCCTCTCCTTCCTATCCACTTTGTCTCCACCAAGGACAGAGAGGATGGGGTAAGGAGCCAGGATTCAGGAGCAGCTTGAGAACCCCAGACCAAGGACCAGGCACATCATTGTCCTAGGAATAGCCCAGCTCCCTAAGGACAGATGGGGACCAGCAGTTTCCGAGTCTGCAGAAATGAACCAAGGGGCTTACCTGGACAGGCGATAGCTTCCCTGGCAGGGCCCTGAGGAGAGGGGGGCTCGGTGCCTCTTTCTTTGAAGTGAAGGAGAAACGCGGCGGTCTCGGACTCCATGTCCCCACAAGGTGTCTAGGGGCTCCTGAAAGGTGACCTGCTCATGGCCAGTTCTTCAGGGCTCAGCCTGGTCTCAGAGTCGATGCCCAGCCACTGAGGGAGTGCTTCTACTCTGGCCACCTCCTCCTTTGGTCCCCTCCCCTCTTGTCTCTTCTTTACCCTCTATCCTCTCTCTGCACCTATGGTCACCAACCTGAGCGTCCTTCATCCCTGGTGGCAGTGTGGCCACCTGAGGTGATGGCGACGGCCCCTCTACGTGAAAATCCAGAGGTCATCCCTGAAGGGCTTGTCCCTCACCTGATCTCACAACTTCCATCAGTCCCTGATCAGTGCTTTATAGCTAAACGAAGGGGCTGTCCTCCTGGACCGGGAGAGCCCTACTCGTGCCGACTTCGGAGAAGCGGAAAGGCAGATTTAAAAAGTGCTTGGGAAACTTAGTTGTGTTTTATTTCTCCTCTTGATTTTTGAGACCTCTCTGGAAGTAAAGTGGAGACTCCCTTCTGCCCTATCAACTTCGACACCCAGAGAGAGATAGGAGGAAATCTGAAGAAAAAAAAAAAACAAACAAACCAGAAAGATGGTCAGGACTTTGAGGTTAGGTCCTCAACAGGGGACCTGAGCCATTCTCAACCTGAGAGAAAAAGGAGAAAAGGAAAAAGGGGGGAGAAAAAAAAGAAGAAAGACAGGAGGAGGAAGAGACTCACATGCTAGGAGGCTCACTATCAACCAAGGTGAGCCTGCAGGTAAGGTGCTGGAACCCTGGAACAGGTGTCCCTGCAGGTGGCTACCTAGGGAGAGAGCCGAGATACCCATTGCAGAAGGAGCTGGGCTGGTGTAAACACAGAGGGTCTGGCTGGGCTTGGTCGTGGTGTGGGGCTGCAGGGCAGTCCCAGTGTCTAAAAGAACGTCCAGTTCTCCCTTGTCAGCGGGATGATGTCTGTCTCTGGCATGACCTGACCAGCCCTGTCCCTGTGGGGAAACACCCCAGAGAGCAACCGGACTCTCCAGTTACTGTGAGGGCCCTGTTTCTGCAGAGCCTGCAGCATGCAGAAGTCCCCTGGCTGTGGCAGCTGCAGCCATGGAGGGTGGAGAGGGGATTAGGGTGCTGAGAGGCACCTTCATGCAGCAGGAACGAGCTACCTGGCAAGGGACAGAAACTATGCCCACTTCCCATGCATTATCTGTTAAATTTTCATTTCCACATAGCCAAGGATAAAAATGGCAGCCAGTTCAGCAGCCTCAGCACCCAGCCTCTGGGGGTTCCCCTGGTGTGGCTGAGCCCGACCCTGGCTCCTGCTTAGGCTCCCCAAGAACTCTAAGAACAGACACTTCAGCCCTCTGCCCCACCTCCCTGATGTTTCTTTGATGGTATCTGGATGTCAAATAGAAAGTTGAGGGGGACCAGATCAGGAGTAAACTGAGCCCACATCCCCAGGAGCCACTCATTCACAAATGAATGAGAGTCCACTTCTCAAAAAAGTTTCCCACGATGACAGAAAAGTGGTATCAGCCACCTCCAAGCAGACCCCCGTGGCAAGGAGAGCCGGCATCTGGGGCGGGGCCTTATCCGGAGTCGCTCCACTGTGAACACTGGCTCAGCCCCTAGCCCCAGCCCCAATTGCAGCCCCTGATTGCCTGACACAGCACCCTTCTGATTTTGGCAGGGCTGGGAGAGCTTCAGAGATCCAGAACCCCGTTCTTGACAGCCTCGTCAGCGCTCCTCAGAAATTCCCCACCCCCCAGGACACTCGTGTGGAGGTTGTAAGTTCCAGGGTAAGTTTAGCCACAATCGCTGCTTTTACACTCAGCGGGTTAATCTGTTCCTCGGTTCCCGTGCCAATACCCCAGAACAGCGGGCGCCATCCACCCTGCCCTCCACCAAGCAACCAGGGGCGCTGCTTTCTTGCAAAAAAGCCGTATGTCAAAGTTCCTGCATCCCGGTTGGACGCGCCCTCCCAACCCTCCCAGCCCTGCCGGCTGCTGGCTCTGCAGTTTTCCAAATGTGGATGATGCCGGGAGCCAAGAGAAAACTCCAGGCACCCCTTCTGGAGCCACGCGGCACCAGCACCCACAGCACCCACCTCACCAGAGGGCACACCCCCACCACTGCCGATAAGTTTTCAGGGGCTTTCCTAGCTGGTGGGCAGCTGCAGCAGCCAGCTGAAAGGGACTCACCAGGGAGCCCTGGGCGCCCCTCGGGCTGGGCTGGTGACCGCGACAGCAGTGGCAGCGGGCGCAGGGTCGCGGCTCCCCGGGAGATGCTGCAGCAGCGGCAGCGGTAGCCACCTCCTCCCGGAGCCAATCGCAAATGCAGGGGTGGGGGCGGGCCGGAGCTCCCGTTGCGTCCGCACTTGGTGGGGGGGGAGAGAAAGAAGACACCAGCACCCCGACTCCGCACCCCTGCCCTTCCCCCCAGCTCTCCTGCAGCAGCGCAGACTTAGCAGCAGGGAAATCTTGAGAGAGAGAGAAGGAGGAAGAGAGAGAGAGGAGGGGAGAGGGGAGGGGAGGGAGGAGAGAGAGAGAGAGAGAGAGAGAGAGAGAGAGAGAGAGAGAGCGTTGATGCAGAGTTAAGGAGGCAGAGCCCAGCTGCACACCTTGCTTGCCCGGTCAAAGCTGCAGGAAGCTCCTGTACCCTCAGCCCTGTCGGTACCAGGTAGAGGTCAGAGGAGAACAAAAGGGAAAAAGAGAAAAGCCCCGCGGGTATGCACGCTCACACATGCACGCAGCCCCACAGGCCAAGAATCATGCATGCAGGGGGGTGGGGGGAGGGCATTGCCGGGATGGCCTGACCCAAGGCTGGTGGGGCATGGGGCCCTTGGATCAGGAGCGACCTCACCTTGGCAGTTCTTATATACCCGGCCAAACATCCCAAACACGCGGCCCGGCCAAGTGGCCCCCCTCGGGCTGTGCGCCCTGACCATATTTAGTCAAGCAGGGGAAAAAATAGCCTGTCAGCTGGGCCGAGGCTGGCCAGGCAGCAGGGAACAGGGTGGGAGCCCCGGCACCATTGACAGCGGTCCTGGGCTGCCCCGTCCCCCTCTCAACCCCTCCCTGACCAGTCGTGCTACCGGCTGTCCCTGTCCTGTCCGAATCCCCCTGCTATTTTTAGCTAGACCCAGTACAGAGGTGCCTCCTCCCGCAGTGGGCACTTGCCTCTCTCCAAGGCTACAACAGCCCATTCCTCAGAGTGGCCTGGGGAGACTGGAGCTGACCCAGGGAGCAGGGCCCAGGAAGGGAGATGGGTGCTGTCCTGGCCTTAGTCCCCTAAAGGCCCAGCTGGCCCAGGGCTTTAACATCTCCAGAGTGGTGTCTTTTTTGCTCAAATGTAGGGTTGGGTCAAGGAGCAACAGAGTCACGACCAGTTTTCCTGAGGGTCCCAAACCAACCCCAGGTAATGAGAATCACAGGTCACCTTGAGCAACCGACAAGGCCAACTCACTGGTCATTCCTACATCTTCCAGACCCTGACAAGGGTGTATGGCTGGAAGACCCCATATCCACGGTGGTGAGTACGATTGGAAATGCCTCCGTTCTGGCTCCCACCCGGGTCATAGAAAAGACAAAGCTTGGGAAGACGGCCCCACTGAGCTGAGACTCAGAATCTAGCAGCTTGGGATCAACCAACTATCCCCTTGGAGCAGAGTAGCGTTGAGCAGGTCTCTGCCACCCTGCCACTGTAAAGAACAATGATAACAAACACTTGAGATGACTTGGGAGCCATTAGTGGAGGCCAGAAACAGGCCCCACAGTGGACATGAGTGCTTCTTCCGGCAAAGCCCTGCACAGAACACAGGCATACGAAGGCTTCCTGCTGTTTTAGAATCCACTCACAAACCTCCTGTACTTAGAGAAGTGTCCCCCAGCCCTGTACTGGCCAATATGGGGAAAGGTGATCATTTACATCTTCCCAGGAGGAACATGTAAGCAGCCTGCTCCTACCAAGGCCAGCTCCCAGGTGGTGAGATAAGGACACCCCTTCAGCTCTACTCCCAGGCTCTCGGTAACCCAGCAGGAGAGGACACTGACCAAGACCAGTCCACAGAAGCAAGAGAGAGATGAAGCCATACCGTAATCACCACATAGGCTGGCTGTGACCCGTGTCCCAACCAAGGAGAGAGAAACAGGGAGAAGGGTACCCATGGCTGTCCAAGCTGGGGTGGGTGCAGTGCTGCAGCTAGACCCAGGACTCACAGGCTACGGGGCTGCCTCTTTCCCAGGGAAGGTATAGTAAGCAACCTGTCCCAAATTCCCCCAGGACACAGCCAGAGGACAAACTCCTGAAGAGGGAAGCCATGGGCCCCAAGCTCCCAACCTCTTAGGACTTCGCTGCCCACCGATAAGGGAACAAGGCACCTCCTCACAGGGGACGCAGAGTTGAGGTCCCCTCAAGAGTGCACATGTGTTGTAGAATATTATTTTAAGATGTGTTACATTTGCTTACGTTGTGGAACATTTGTTTAATGATGCAAAGATGTGTTGCGTTCTTTTATGTTGCAATTGTTTAACTCTGTGAAGCTGTGATCCTTTGCCTGTCTAAAACACCTGATGGTCTAATAAAGAGCTGAATGGCCAATAGTGAGGCAGGAGAGAGGATAGGCAGGGTTCACAGATAAAGAGTATAAACAGATGGAGAAATCTTGGAGGAGAATGAGAAGGAATAAAAAAAGGAGGAAGACATCAGGGGCCAGCCACCCAGCTACACAGCAAGCCACGGAATAAGAAGTAAAGGAAGGTCTACATAGTCCAGAAGCAAAAGGTAGATGGCATATTTTAAGATAAGGAAAGCTGGCTAGAAACAAGCCAAGCTAAGGCTGAGCATTTATATGTGATAATAAGCCTCCCTGAGTGTATTTATTTGGGAGCTGGATGGCAGGCCCCCAAAGAGCAAAAGACTAAAAACCAACCAACAACTACATGTTGGCACTCCAGTGTGGGGCTAATGCAACACATGTGTGGTTGGGTATGGTAGCACAAGTCTATAATACCAGCATTCAGGAAGCACATGTGTGGTTGGGTATGGTAGCACAAGTCTATAATACCAGCGTTCAGGAAGTGGAGGTGCCTAGAGTTTGAGGCCAGCCTGGGCTATGGTGAATAACAAGCCAGCAGGAGCTTCATAGTAAGACTGCCTCAAAATAAATAAATAAGCAAATAAATGAGTAAGTATTGTGTCCATAATGACATGGATAGTTGGGAAGGTCTCGAGAACTGTTGTCCCCAACACATTTCCTTTTGAGGCTTCCAATATCTCTTTTTGGAGAATTAAATGTATGGACGATGGATGGATGAATGACTTATTCAGTCAACTGACTGAACCATTGATTACTAGACAGCGAGGCCCAGGACAGGACATGGTGGGACTGGGGTCTCTGGACAGAACCATGTTTATGTAATTCAGCTTGAATTTGGATGAGATTTAACATCTTATGGGGCAGTGGTTCGAGGTCCATGATGGGTCAGCCCAGTCAGAGGTTATAGAGACATTTTCCCACAGCTGTGTAGGTTCCTACAGAGGAGACTAGTCCATATCTGGCTAACCAGCCTGTCCTCCACCCAGGAGAAGGAAATTGGAACACCTTTGCCACTAATCATTCTCCCCCAAAACTCACTGACATTGAGGCTAAGCAATGTCCATGTACCGTCCGTCTGTCCTTGTACCTGTGAACACACGGCTCTCAAGAGAGGTGGACACTTCTTACTTCTTCCCCAGGCAACAGGATGGAGGAGACACTGTTCCCATCCAAGCCCATGTCTTCATCCCCACCCTGACCATTCCATGTCAGTGAAGCCACTGCAGAAAACAGGCAGCAGCCTCTCCAGTGATAAGACCTCAATATGCCCGAGCAACTGCTCTGCTGGGCACATGTCTGGAGGGTCCCTGAAGCATTGGCTTTGGTGCAAACAGCACAACCCAGATGTCATCGACTAATGACCAGGGGACAACACACCGCATGTGGATAGGATGGAATATTAGTTGGTCATAAAAACCAAAGCACTGCTACATACCATGACTGTTAAAAACGGAGCAGGGTCAACACAGGGGGCCATAAACTGTACGTGGAGTGAATGTGGAACCCCCAGGATGGACAGATCCATAGACAGGCAGGGAAGGAGAGCCCAGGGGAAGTGGGTTTCCTTCAGGTGATGTTATGGAGGGACCTAGAAGAGACAGTTATACAGCATTAGATGCCATAGATGCTGTCCAATGATGCTCTCTTTAAAATGGTTCTTTTTATCTTTGTTTTGTTTTTCTTTTGAGGCAGGATTTCTCATAACCAACGCAGCCAGGAAGCTTGTTGTGTAGCTGAGGATGACCTTGAACTTGTGACCCTCCTGTCTCCACCTCTGGAGTGCAAGGATTAAAGGTATTACCATCTTGGTTCCTTTATCTTGCATGAATTTCTCCTCAATTGAATAACAGACAAACCTAGGTAAAGGCCCAGTCCACCTTCTCTCCCCACTGACCCCACTCCTGGCCTCAGGACTACACAGCCCCGGGCATAGGCACCTAGATCTTAAAGGACTTAGCTATAGCTTTCTTTGGGACATTCCCCAGGATGCTGTAAGTTAGCCCCATTTCCCCTACTCAGTTCTGTCCAGAGCTGGAACAGGACGTGAAATGGACAGAAGATTCCACCCCTCTTCTCAAGGATACTCCAGAACCTCAGGCCATGTCTCTGTGTGATGGTCCATCTTCCTTACCAACTTCATAGGATTTAGAACACCCATACATCTAAGTGTATCTGTGAGGGAGTTTCTAAAGAGATTTAGCTGAGGCAGAAAGATCCACCATCCTGTGGCCTTGAGTACCACGTACTGAATGAGAAGGAGAAAGTAAAACTGACCAGGCTGGCCTCGAACTCACAGAGATCTGCCTGTCTCTGCCTCCCAAGTGTTAGGATTAAAGGCGTGCGCCACCACTGTGTTCCGAAGAGCAGATTCGCCCCTTTCTGTGTTCCGAGGAGCAGATTTGCCCCTTTCTGTGTTCCGAGGAGCAGATTCGCCCCTTTCCGCATCCCCACCCGGGATTCAGGGTGATTCGCTGCCTCATGTTCTGCCACAGGGACTCCTCACGACGATGACAGCATCCTCAAACCACGAGCCAACAGAAGCCCTTCCTTCCTTAAATTACTTCTTTCCAGGTATGTAGCCCCAGCGATGAGAAAAGTAACCACCCTGCCTTGCACAGCAGAAGGGGTTAGTTTGAGAAATTCAAGATGGCAATTGTTCTGAACCATCCTGGACCCAGTGTCCTCACAAGATCCTTCTAGGGGGAAGGATGGCTGGAGGCGTGGGAGTACTGGAGGAGCGGACCACGGGTGGAACCCTGCAGCCTACAGAGGGAGTCAGCTGACATCAGGCTTCGGCTTCTAGCCTGTAAGAGGATAATTGAGTATTCAAGCACTGAGTGTACAGCACGTGTTACAGCAGTCAAAACACACTCATACCTTGCCTATGGCTTTCGAGGAAACCCTCCCAGTGAGCAGAGCCATAAGAACCCTGTCCTGAGACTCCCCAGGGCCTACACACATGGTAGCATCAGCTTCTTTGTGATCTTGGGTCCTCCCCAGTCCCCTGTGCAGCATGCCCTGACCTGAGCTACCAAGGAGCCAGGCAGGAAGCTATGTTCCAGGAAGGTCCATGGGCCGGGGAGGGCACTGGCCAAGGAAAGGGGCTGACTTGATGTAGATTTCAGGATACCCCTGTGACTATGCCTATGGACCAATTTTCTGGGCTGGCCTGGTCTAGGCCTGACTTGGGCATAGGTACTGACTCCACAGGCAAGCAAGGTCAGTGGGAAGACAGCCTGGGCTCCAGACAAATTCCATGACCCCTCTCTGTCAATGCTCAGTCCAGATATCTGCAGTCCTGTCCAGGATGGTCAGCTGGTCACCAAGAGCCAGGAACTGAAGTGAGCCACAAACCCTGAGGCATATCAGAGACCTAAAGCTGCTGCTTAAAATGGTGTCCCTGCTGGGTACCCGTTCAGCATGCTGGGGATGTGAGCTGGATTTCACAGAGCCTTTATGGGGCCCATGAGCACCATGAGTCCCCAACAGAAGTGGAGTCTGCAGCACTGCCCGGTATCAACTAACCACTGCCCTGGTGTTTGTGGTGTACACTCGGGGCATGGTGCATCTCTATGGGGAGGGCTTGTGTTGCCAGTGTGGCCCATGGAGCAGAGCTATAAGGGAAAGTCACGGGAACGTGAGGCATCTTCTCCACACCACAGGATCCCACAGCCCCCACCACACCGGGAAGGCTGACACTGCCAGACCTGGTGTACCCATAGGCACCCCCCACACACACGCACGCGCATACACACGCACCCTTAACAGCAGAGGGAAAACCTCCCTGGCAGCTCGGAAAGAAAGGCATTTTTCACTGCCATAGTGTCAGGGGAGAGCAATCTGTCTCCTGCGATGGACGTTCCCCTCAGTAAGGTGACAGCTCAACCATCAGCAGATGCAGGATGCTGCCCAGCCCAAGGCCCAACAGTTTAGCCCCCAGCCAGACGTGAATTACTCAGCAGTTCCAGGTCAGCACACGGAACCCAGGACAGACTGCAGGCTGGGTAGAGGGCAGATCCTAGGATCTGAGTCTGGGGCCAGGCAGGGCTTCAAAGCCTCCCAGCCCCCAAGCTAACCGGTCGGGTTCAGAGCCAGCTTTTCCAAAAGCCATTACTCTCCCTGGAGGACATACCAACACCCTGGAAGAAGACCTGAGGTGACAGGTAGGCCAGGCTTCAAAGCTCCCAGGGCTACAGCCTCTCCTAGTTTAGAGGCATGGAAACAGGGTTGAGATCAGTGTTGGGGTGAAAAGGGAGCCCCTCCTGTAGCCCTCACCCTATTACCCACCATCTATGAGGAGAGTCAGATGGCAGCCTGGTTTCTACTCACCCCAGGACGGCCTTACAGGCAACAAGGGATAGAAGGCAAGGAGAGCTAGTGAACTCCTTATCCCATGTGGCCCTAGACTGCTTTTCTATATAGACGGATCCCCCAAGCAAGGATAAGGGGGAGACAGGCCAGTAAATGGATGAGTAAACAGATGAACAGATGGACGGATGAATGGATAGGTGGGTGGGTGGGTGTGGGGGTGGATTGGTGGATGGATAAGTAGGTGGATGCATGGGTGTGTGGATGGATAAATGGACGGATGGATGGAGGGAGGGATAGATGGATGGACGGATGGAGGGATGGAGGGATGGATAGGTGGATAGATGGGTGGGTGCATGAGTGTGCAGATGGATGGATGGGTGGATGGGTGGATGGATGGATGGATGGGTGGGTGGATGGATGGATGGATGGATGGATGGATGGGTGGATGGGTGGATGGATGGATGGATGGATGGATGGGTGGATGGATGGATGGATGGATGGATGGATGGATGGATGGGTGGATGGGTGGATGGATGGATGGATGGATGGATGGATGGATGGATGGATGGGTAGATGGGTGTGTGGGTGGGAGGGTGGATGGGTGGATAGATGGATGGATAAATAGGTAGACAAATCAGGGGCCAATTTCTTCTGTATCTTAAGAAATCTGCCCCAAACTTAAGTCTCTCCCTGGGAGATGCTCCGCTGGGATGCAGAGCACAACAAAACCTGCTGTAGAGCAGCCTCTTGGACTCCACTGAGGCCTGAGCTCAACAAACCGGAGGACACAGCCTCCCTGCCCAGAGTTACTTCCCTGTCCCCTTCATCCTGGCTCCTTAGCCATGGCGATGGCCTCACAACTGACTTCACTGGCACCTCGCAGCTCAGGAGTTATTTCTTCATCGCTGTGTGCCAGCCCGTCATGACAAACCGCCACTGAGCCCCCATGACCTTCAGCCGTCATGGTCCAGACTGCCCTCCATTCTGCCCTTGTCACTCCCAGGCAGACCCAAAATGTCTCCCTGGTTCTACCTCCAGGTCTTGAACACAGTCTGGGTGCATTTGTAGGCCTGCTCCTCAACTCATCAGAACAGCCTGGCACCCTCTCTGGGAAGCCCTCCATGTGCCTACTACACTGTAAGGGACCAGGTGATGCAGGGGGGTGTCTCAGCATGCACTCTGGGTTAAACATGCCAAATGGGACAGAGGAGAAATGGAAAACTGGCTGGGAAGACTAAGACCCACCACGGTGACTATTTCTGGTCCCTCCAGAAACCCTCTACCTCAGATACCCTCCCCCTGGTGCCTGCCCCTGCATGAACCCCTGCCGCCAAGTCTGGTCAACCCTGCAGGTCCTGACCGTGAGGAAAGCCCTGAGTAATGAGAGCCACATTTCCAACAGTCATTTTCTCAGGAAGAGCCTGACCTCAGAAGTTTCCCTGTTGTACTAGGGTCAAGGCCAGAGTCCTTCATCCACCTCCTGTACACACAGGTCTGCTACCCACCCCCAACCATTGGGACAAGGCCCTTGGAGCGACCCTGAGGCTGTTCTCTGAGTCCCTGTGGCTCTACGAGAAACATTCTGGGCCTCCTCCAGGGAGAGGCTCCTGTGTAGACTTCAGCATGAAGTATCAGCTTAGAGGGTAGGTGGCTGGAGGCACTCATGTCTCCCCGCCCTCCAGCCTCCCATGAACCTCCGCATTCTCTCAGATTTGTGCCTTGTTGTTACCAAGAGCTACCCCAGGAGGAAGTGAGCACTTCTGTGCTGTTGAACACAGTTCTGCAGGTTCCTGAAGACCCTGCCCCCGGCTGTTCTGGTGTGCACCAGAGAGTACCAAAACGGAGAGGGAGGTGAGAGGGGCAGGAAGGTGGCGGTGAAACAGGGAAGCATCCTACAGGATTTTCCTGCCTTTCCCTGGGCCTGGCCTACCTCCTTGCTGCCATCCCCACCTTTCTCTTCCTTCTGCCCAGCAGAGCCTCCCCCTCACCTGGGGAAGAAGACATGTCAGCATCCTCAAGACTCAGGGAGCCAACGGAGTGTCAAGCCCTTGCAACTCACACATGCTCCTGAATGGACGGGGTCCGCCCAATGGCAAGTGATCTCACCTGGACACAGAGTCATCACTGTGTGCAGAGCCCCTGCTTGGGGCAGAGCAAGCCCTGCTGAGTCACCTGGTTCCTTCTGGGAAAATTCCAGGGGTAAAATTCCAGGGACCTAGTCCCTGACACCCCTCCCTTCCCTGGGCTCCACAGAGAGACCTTACAGCCCAGAGAATTTCCTAAGGCAGACTGCAGGTTTTCTGGGCTGCCTTTTTTAGCATGTCATTGATGGCCCCACAGCTGGGCCATTGGCATGGCGGGAGGTTTGTCATTGGCTCCTGGGAAAGCTTAGTGATAACACTCTAGAGTTCTAGTCCCTCGCCTGGCCTCGGCTTTGGCCTCTCCTGCTGCCCAAAGGGAGCCTCCAAGTTTGAGCCCCTGGTCCTGTTATCTCTAGCTTCCCACTGATGGGTTAGAGCGCTTCTCCTAGGGTCTCCCTTACAGAGGGGTTGATGGTCCCCAGAACCAGGAGTGGCCTCATTCTCCAGGGACTGTCTTCCACGGAGTGTTGCTCCAACAGGCTCTCCACCACAATTAGCCCTTCCCTCATCCTTGCCCTATAAATATTCATTTTGGAGATGTTATAAAGATGCTTTTTTAAAAATGCCAAACTCATTTGGATAAAGAGCTGAGCTGCTGCCAAATGCAGCCGGCAAACCGGGCTCTAAGGTGCACAGTGCAGAGGCTGCCGCGGAGTAGCCTCCCCCAGGTCACATGGCGCTCTCTGGGGACAGTTTAACTTGGGGTGGGTTTTGGCTCCTTGCAGGGAACATCTAACAACGTTGAAGCAGACTTGGGATATAAGCATGTGGTCCCCATCCACAAGAGGGTGAGCTGTGAGAGCCCTTGCATACCCAGGGATGCCACATCACGGCCCACCTCTCTGCATAGCTGGCTCTGCAGGCAACTCATCCCAGGGGCCCCGACAGCCTCTGGCATTATCCTAACCTGCCATGCCCCCACCTACCTTGATCTCTAGTTGCATAAACTGAACTCACTATGTTCCCAGGGTAATCTGTGAATCTGGGCCTGGGTGGAGGCCACTATCCAACCTACCCTCCCATCAACTGTGGCTGGATGTTGGGGTCCAATGGGTGTTGGGGTGCAGCACTCACTCTTCACGGTGTCCGACTGTTTAATAAAGAAAAACGGGTCTCAGGCACAGGAGTAGCCATGCACTTGCATAGTGGAGGAGGTTTGGCTCTCAGGCAAGGGTTGGACACACTCTGGAGTCCCTGGAAAGGTTTGACTCTGAGGCGGGGTCTGGCCATACTCTCGGGACCCCAAGGACACTTTCCTTCCTCTGCTCCCCTCCTTCTGGCTAGTTTTCTTTGAGAACCTCCCTGCTAGGGAAGGAGCCATCCACTTAAAAATGAAGTTCCGTTAAGTCCTGATGAATGATTCTGCCATCTCATAAAGCTCCATAGGAAGTCCAGTCGGGTTCTCAAAACCTTGGAGGTATTCCTTAAATTTATTGCGAGCCCTTATAAAATATTGAATTGATATCCTCGGGTATCCTTTTGTGGAGAAGGCAGGCCTGCGATGGTGATTTTCCCTCTATCCAGAGACTCCCCCAACTGTAGCTTGAGGTTCCCTCAGGAAATCTTAGTGTCTGGAGTTTGGATCTACAGGATCAGAATAGGGGCTCAGCCTTGAGAGGGAACCCACAGGCACGGCTCTCTGGAACCTTCATTCCTCTCAATCCAGGATGCTGAGGACATTTGACCCTCCAGCTCACCAAGAGGTGAGGAACTCTATTTCCCAGCTTCCTCGGAAACCCCCAAACTTCAGTTCCTGGGGCCCTTGCTTTGTGCAATCACTCACACGACTTCTTGACCTACAGGTATCAGAAGGGATGTGAGGAGGGGCAGGCCTGTCCTGATCGAAGGTGGCAGCCATGCTGTGAACTCTGTGTGTGGAGCACAGCCCTTGTCCACAGCTTCAGAAGCAGGGCTGTCTACTCCACAGCTTCAAGGAGTTGAATTCCATGCTAACCTTATGACTTTGGGTGAGGACTGACCTGCAGAGACCTTGATTTCAGTCTGCGGCTCTGCCCCGAGGCCTTGCCACGGTCTGCCTTAGTCCCTGCAGGTTGGAAGGTGACGGAAAGAGGATCTCCTGATCCTCAGTGTCGAGGTCCTTACAACTCAGAGTCGTCTTGTTGTGGGGGCAGTAGACCATACCTGGTCTGCTTCTTGTTCCTGAGACAGCAGAGCCAGGAATCGTGGCCCTGGAGTGTGTGTTGTGCCTTGTTCTGTGGCCGGTCCCCCTCCTGGCCCCACTAGGAAATCTAGAAGATTCCAGATGCCCTCCTCCCATGCCTTCTTCCCCAGAATGACAGCCCGATACTCACTGACCTCACTACGCCATACTTTGAGTGGGGTGAACCGACCACGCTTGTATACAGGCTTCGATAGTGTGGTATTCTCAGACACTCAGACACACTGGGACAGGGGAACCAGCACTGCAGTGAGTGGCAGAGACAGGGTCTTCATGGCAGGACATCTGACTTGTATCATCCAGAACTTCCTGCAGCCCCGCTCCTGGCAAGGCTGCTGCCTACAAGGTCCTCTCTTGAGGGCCTGGGGTGACCTTCACCAAGACTGTGATGCTGGCTGTGCTGAGACATTCTGCATTCATGGTTATGAGTGATTTTATTGCCCAGTCAGTAAGAACCTTCTGATTATGTCATTGCAGAGGCAGCTGGATGCCAAAAAATATGCATTTCCTTCCGTCTGCTACTGACCCCTCTGCCTTCATGCCAGCTTTCCTCTGGTGCCTCTCCTGTGCCCTCTGTGATTAATAGGACCTGGAGATGCACCAAGGATCCCTGGGGCTGAAGCTGGAAGAGCAGAAGGGCCCCACGGTCATCAGACGCCTGGCTCCTTGGGCTCCTTGGTCACAGTGGGGGTGGAGGTGGCCTGAGTGCCCAGCCAGGACACACTGAGAGGTTGACATCAGTGCAGATTCATGCTGCACGCTGGGCACCTGTTAGGCAGACCCAAGAATAGCCTTTCCGGGGGGCCAAACAATCCGTCAGCGACTAGGAGGCCATGTAAGCCCCAGTCCTGTGATGGAGCTGTTCTCTGTAGACATGGGCGTGTCTAACGCCGTGACCCTGGAGCTGTTTGTGTCTCATCCACCATTTACCCACCCAGGAAAGGAGGGGTTCCCACCCGTCCTCTGTGCCCTGGTGGGGAAGGAATAACTCTGACCAGAAGTAAAGGTCCAAACAGGGAGAGGATAATTCTTTGAATGCATGATGCCCATGACTCAGGAACCCACCCCATCCCCAAATCCTTGCTCACCTAAATTTTACTAGCCCGGCAGCTTTCAGACCCTCTAAGGACCCGTACACCCCAGCCCTTGAGCTAAATCACCCCTGGTATATCTGAATCCAGGTTAACTTAACTGAGGAGTAGGGACCAAGGGCCACCTAGGATGAACCAACTCTGGCACAGACAAGAGCTGGGTTAGCTTTTATGAGTGCTGAGAGAGAGAGGGGGCTCCTTTACACACCCTGACCACCCTGTGCTGGACCTGATTTCACAAACCTCCAGGAGCTTCCTTCTGAGAGAGAGAGAGAGAGAGAGAGAGAGAGAGAGAGAGAGAGAGAAAGAAGAGGAAACTGTATGGCTCCCCTGGTTCCCCAAGAGCCTGTTTCTGCGCCTGGGGCTACCTCTTCCTAACCAACATTTGTTATCTAGTATTGCCTGCTATAAACCTGGGATGTCCCCTACCCCTGCCTTCTGGGGCTTCCCACTGCCCCTTGTAGGCCTGGGTAGATGGGCTATCTCTCCTACTCTTCTTCAGTGTCCAGGCCATCCATGAATACGTGTTGCAGGCCTCAGCCTCCTACCCACATCAAGCCAGGCTTTTTAGTTAGCCCATCAAGAAATTAGTCTGCAACTCCCTGAAGCCCACCTGTGCCCTGCTGGCCAATCTGAGTGACCAACTTCAGCACCAAGTTAGTCAGGTCACCTTGAACTTCTAACACCAGGCAGTGTTACTTCATGGAAGGACCGCTCTCCTTAGAAATCTGTTTAAGTCAGGACAGTCGGGAAGTGGGGCCAGAATACTGAAAACATTCATGTCTGCAACTGCTGAGGCCCCCACTTGCGCCATGTCTGATGCAGGCAGCAGTGTGCAGAGGCACAGACTGGCAAACCCCCTCTGCCCAGGCACTGAGCAGGTAGCAAAGGTCTCAGCCCTTTGCCTGTCAGTCCCTTTAGAGATTATACAGGGAAGGGGAGGGTGTCTTTTGACATCATCGTGAACAGCCCTTGGGTAAAGATACTGCCCTCTTAGAGACATTTGGTGACTGTAATCCAGATTACCAGTGGATATCTAAGAATGAGGCTTCCCTGTCCACCTTCACATGTAAGCTACCCTCAGCACTGATTTCAAGCCCCAGCCATCAGTGGGCATCAGCCAAGACAGAGACAGTATGCAGAATTTCATGTTCAGACTAATAAAGATTTAATCTTGATTTTCCCGGTCCTGCTAGTGAGATGGGGTCAGGGTCCCCAGGGTAAGTGTTTTGACTTGGGGTCCCTCTAGGGAATTGTAAGAACCATGTGTTTCCAGGAAAAGTACAGAACCCCATTCCTCTCACAGTCAGGAGATGCTGGCCAAGATTCAAGCGACACACCCAGAGAGAACAGATCCAGAGAGACTTCAGTGAACTCTGAGCTCATCCGGTAGGATGTTGCATACCCTGGGAATGACATGTGTCTCAAAGTTCAGCCCTGGTGACACACCTTCTCCATCAAGGCCACACCTTCTGATCCTTCCCAAACAGTTTCACTAACTGGGAACCAAGCATACAAATACATGAGCCTATGGAGGCCACCCTCGTTCCACCCAACCACAGTTGGGATGTAGGACTGAGGCCCCCAGCACAGTTATACAGGGAGCTAGACATAGAGGAGGCTCTTGACATAGATAGGAGCAACAGAACCTGCTCTCCCCTTGATACACAAATAACACCTTCTCTCCAGATCCCACAGAAGGGTCCTAGAGTCTCCAAATGCATCCGACTTCCCCAGTTCCTCTGAGCACTGTCCAAAAGCCATGCGTGGGGAAAGTTCTGCAGATAATGGCAGCTGTTACCATCAGCATAGCTACGTTTGTCGATCACTTGCTGTCTGTCAGGCCACACAACATCTTCCGAAAGCCGTGAGCTAATTTCGTTTTTATGCTCGGTAGATGGGAAAGCGTGACATCAAGATTCGGGGTCAGGAGGCAACCCGGTCCGGTGGCTTTGATGGGGACAGAACACTAAGTAGCCTGAATCATCTCTGAAGGGTTTTCTGCACCCCAGGACACAGCCTCCGTGTCCCCGACATGTCCTGAAGACAGTTCCTGGGGGAAGCCTTCCAGAGAAAGACATAGTCTATTAACCTAAGGCTGAGCATTGATTGGCTGAAAGATGAAACCCGAAGCAATCCCATTTGCCGGGAAACAGGGTTTGTAATTGTATAGACAGCTGATCTCTAGTGTCACTGCCTCCCTGGAAGCTTGGGTCTATCGACAGCCTCAAGGCCAGCTC